ATGCATTTTGTGTAGGATGTGACAGTCAAGAATTTCCACTATTTTACACTTTGATGTGTGCAAAAATAGTCGATGCGTTATCCGGTTCCTAGCTGCGAAATGTATCACTAAAAATTTCGCGTACTAGCAACTGAAACGTAAGTGTACGTAAGAGCAGGATCTGAAGCCTCAGGTCGCATACGGATGGGAAACGCCCTTTCAAAGTTTCAGTTTCCTAGTTTTTTGGTTCCCCAGTCACCGACTTTCGCGCTAAAGTTTTCACATGGCTGTACGTGAGATCTAGGCATATGTGGGAGCTGATTTCAAGATTCTCCTGAAATCTCGGTCTGCCAGATCTTCCGGTCCTCGAAATAGTAATTTTCCTCACCAAAACTTTCACTGGCACGTACATGAAACCCAGGCGTATGTTAGCGCTGAGTTTAAATATGCGAGGTCGCACATGGGCGGGGGACATTTTACTAGAACTTCAGTCTCTCAGTTTTTATAGTCCCCAATTTGAAAGTGCGGGACAAAACGCACTGGGAACACGCACCAACAGACAGGGGCATGATAATATGCGTTTTGTGATGCTGTTACACAGCACAAAACGCATAGAAATGACATGATTTGATTTGCTGTAAGGTCACGAGTACGCTGTGGGAAGTAGTACTGTTGTCTTATGACAGGCAGATTCGACTCCACAACTTGATTATTTCTTTTTTCGACTGTAAATTAGTGCTGGCATATGCCAAGGAATCAGACCTGTCATCAGCTTGCTTTTAAGCAACCCACGAAAGAAGAAACCATTGATAGCCCAGTCAGCTGATGGCTGCTGCTGCTGCTGGCATTTGCTACCAATAAGAGTAGTTGGCACCTTGTCTCTCCAAGAATGAATGAATACGAATGGAATCTCTGACTTTCGATTTGTTGTGTAAAGGCAAGAAAGTGAAGGGCAAGAAGTGAAAGGTGGACACTCTCGCTCTGAGTGCCGGGAAACGAGCAAAGCAGGAGTGCAGAAGGAGAGCCTATTAACCTCCAAGTGACCTCAATGCATCAGGCTGTGTTCCCTTGTTTTGGCCTCTTGTCCTGCGTCTTATTTACTGCTGGTTCTCACAACAACTGACATGATTTAAGGGCAAAAAGAGCAAAACTGAAATAAGAGGACTTGCCTGACGTTCTCCGCGGCCGCTATTCGATGAGGAAGCTGGAGATGGTGTTCCTGCAATAGTTTTCGAAGCATTCTGTGCGCCCGCTTCATTTCGATTCAATTTTTCATCCAGTGACACAAACTGAGACTCATGCCTCATCAGTTTACCAAATATGGTGATACAAGTCTAAAATGAATAATCATATTCAGTAAAAAATGAATAAAACACATTAATAAAATAAGGGAAAAGAGCGTAGTAGCTTAAAAGCACTGTACTTAGAAAGTCAAATCCCAGTTCCATAGGGGGCAAAGGCATTCGGAAGTAGCTGGAGCAGTAGTAAATAGCAATAGCAACCACTTGATGATTTCCTTTTTCGAGGCTACTAAGAAACAAGCTGATGGCGGAATTGATTTTAAAAGTAAGAAGAAACTTTTGAATTCTCTTCTAATATAAGTATAGCTGCGCTCGACGTATGGGAGCATCCCTGTAACCCCCCACGGCCGTCCAGCGGTCTTGACATTCTTGTTACATTTAACACTGGTTAAAATGCCCAGCGCATTTTTTTCCAAAAAGCACAATATGCGAAAATAGTGGTCCGACAGAGCAACAACAGCTGGAAAACTCACTATGTATGATGTGATCAAAGTTGCATCACCTAATGCTTTACTGGTAATCACGAAGGAATTCGTTTCTTTTTACAATGCTTTTTTTTTGCATCTGTGCAACGCAAGAACGCATACTGCCGAGGCCCCTTTTTACAAAAACTCGGTAAGCTCCTTTTACATTTTGATGCAAAGTCCAAAGAGTAGTACGATCATTTCGTAGTAAGGTTCCGACATCAAGTTTGCAACATTACTACGGAGACGACCAGAATTTTACACTAAAGTGCGAAAAACCGATTTACCGAATCTTTCAGTGTATAGAGGCAGTAATTTAAGACGGCCTGAACGCGCCACGACAGCATCTTAAAGCGACTCGAAAAATGCTCCTCGAGTTCGGAACAGCCGGACGTCGATGAGGTTGCCCATTTTGTGTTCGTCCTAAAATAAGAAAGGCTGTATATCGTGTAACAGATAATTTAATATCAAAAAGTATCCACTTTCTATGAGATGCAAAGAAACTTGGAAGCAATCAGACTGGTAGCAAACGATAGTTATCCACTGTCAAAGCCGTCGGTGGCTCCTTTTTTGAGGACTGCTTAGAAACAAGCTGAGGCGGGGGGGGGGGGGGGGGG